AACTCTATTGGCTCAGATAGAAGCCATTTAAATTCTCGTCCCTTATGTAATGTAAACAGTACTGACTTTGATTGCATTAATATTCTCACTCCTTCACATTTTCTTACAGGAGACGTGATCCTATCCCCTCCTCAACTACCTCTGGTGCTACTTTGGTAGACGGTTGCACGGATTTTGGCGATGGTTTGGCGATTTTTCTTTTGGCGAGTAATACGACTTATGGTAATACGACTTATGGTGGTTTTAAAAATGATTTTATTATGAATGATTATTTAAATAATTTTAATTTTATGCGTGATGTAATCAGCTCCTTGATTGGTTACTGAATATTTGTGCATTACTGCGCCATTTTAAAATTTTATTATTCATCTCTTCGAATTCCTCAGATTTCAAATGGAATGGATATCTCCGTTTCGAAGATGAATGTTGTTATTGGTAATTGCCAAGAATTATTGGTATTGGAATAAAAAATTGCTCTTTGACACCTTATTTTGGCCAACTTGTCTTTCCTAATCAAAGATTTATTTATAAATTGTTAATAGCGTCAGAGGAAATTTATTTTAAATTTTTGGAATTGCTTCTTCAATGAAGTGCGAGATATGTGGATAACAGATGAAGATGGTTAAAAGAGCCGATTCAATTATGATTCCGATTTTTTTTTGTGGTACTTATCAATAAACAACAGGTTAAATTTCTCAAAAAAATGTAAGTACATATATTCTTTTATTTTATAATTGTATACTTCAAATTTTGTTAAAAAAGTTAATACACTATTTTTGCTGAGATAATTATTGTCACATATGTTTTAATGTTAATTAAATCCTATATAACGTATTTTAAAATATTTGAAGTTAGTAATATTCTTATTCTTTTAAATGTTGGTAGGATGGTTTTTAATTCGATATTCAATTTCAGTAATATTTTAATCTAATTAAACGTTGGCACAATGTTTTTATAGCGGTGTTTGTATTCTCTTTTTTGCTATATGAAAGTAATAATAGCCTTACTTTAGTATTTTATACTCATAGTAAATGTATTTATTTACACTTGCCTGCCATCTTAAAAAACGAAATTTTCAACAAAAAATTAATCCATTACTTTTAACGATATTTATTTTTTTTTTAAGTTTCGAATATTTTACTATGCGTAAAAACAGCATTTTTCAAGATGTCTGACGATTGTAAAAACAGCGCCAACAATTGCGCCAACGTAAATCGCCAAAAATCCGTGCAACCGTCTACCAAAGTAGCACCCTACCTCTTACTAGTCCTGTCAATATACGGAATAGGTGGGATCTCCTTCAAAAAATGCGGAAGGACTTCTGTAAATCATGGACCAAAGCATATCTATCTTCTTTTCAAACCAGAAAGAAATGGAAGGACACTCAGCCGAATATGAAAATTGGAGACATCGTCCTGTTACTAGATGATGGTCATCTTCAAGGTTCTTGGCCACTAGGACAAGCGGTTGAAATTCATCATGGTGCAGACGGACTGGTTCGTGTGGCCACGGTTAAAGCTAAAAACTCTATTTTTAAAAGAAACATTCATAAATTAGCTCCTTTGCACATATATCAGGACTAATGCCTGATAGGGTGGGTGTATGTTCCGGTGCACCGGAACAGAACAACACAACCTGAATCTTTCGCTTTTGGCATTATGCCAAAGAACATTGTCGGACTCAGACGATCACATTCGCAAGGCAGCTGGAATGCTGTCTATTTTTCATTATTCATTATTTTTGTTCTGTTCTCACATCTACAAGTTTTATATATCATTTTCGTGTTTATACTTATATATTGTGCAAATACTTAATACAAGTTTTGTGTTTTGAAAAGAGGATGTGTATCCGATTCATTCACATTACATCGCAACAAGATCCTTTAATTTGTTCTCTAAAACTCTCCAATTGTCAATATAGCTCTCTGATACATCGATTGCTTCTTCGATATCTTCCTCCTTCTCTTGAGGTGCAAACAAAAGTTCTCTAAATTCATATTTGCACGCCGCCATTAATTTCGTTTTCTTTTCAATAACTTTTAGTTTCGAAATTTTATCTTCCAGAGATAATATTTCGCTTTCTCTTCAATAACTTTTAATTTCGAAATTTTATCTTCCACAGATAACTCAGTTTCACTTTTATGAAAGTCATTGTAAGCAATATAAATAGTCTTCTATACTGTTTTCGAAAAAATTTTAATTTCTCCATCACGAAAATATAAATAGCTTAATAATTGTAACTCAAATCGCAGTCGATGTCCTGTCGCGGACGCCAGATATCGGATACCGATTTCAAAACTCAGCTATAAATCGATATTCCTAGAAGTCAAATAATGTACAAAGTTTTAACACAAAACTCTTTTTATTCTTTGTAACGTTAATAATTGCAACGTTTACATTATAAGACATCTAACTGCGAATACTTTACCTTTACCTTTACTCGCATTTGGTACCAACTACTGTGAGTTATCACAAATAGATCAAGTATGCCTTAGGCCAGGGACGGGCAAACTACGGCCCGCGGGCCAAAACCGGCTCGACTGAAGATTCTATCCGGCCCGCCGATAGAATTTTAATTTGGCGGTCCGAGGCAAATTAAAAAAATACATATTTATATAATATACATTCATCTCCTTTTCTACTTCGTTTAAATATTATTTTTTTCTACTTTCCCAAAAGACTGATGATCTTTTTATTTTCTATATTTTTGTTCTAAAAAACATAAATTGACGGAAATAGCAAGCACAGACAGCTTTCAATCGGTAAAGTGTTAAAAGCGGGAAGTTCTTTGTTAGTTATAGCTGTAAGGTTGGCGCCAACAAGCGTTATCGCTTTCTCGAGGAGCAGACATATGGGAATCTAGTGTAGGTGAATTAGATTTCACATGTGGCAGACTGGGCATTTTAAGCTTCAGCCAGCGGCCTTTTCTTTTGGCCCGAGGTCTAATATTATTCATTGCGTATGGAAAAATTGCGGACATATAGCATCATTGTGAATAGTGGTGAAATTATTAAACGTATAGCGTAGCTAGTGCTTGTTTGGGTTATTCGTAAAATATTTAAACCCCGAAATGGCTACTAATAAACGTAAAGTTGATTCAGAGTGCCGTGCTTTTAATTATGAATGGACCTGGAAATATTTTTTACAGTTGTAAAAGATAAACCAGTGTGTCTCATGTGCAATGAAGCTGAAGCAGTCTTCAAGGAATATAACATTTCCCGTCATTTCACACCTAAGCATAAGAATTCCAGTTACGAAGAATATGAAAGCAAACAAAATGCAGAAAGTCTTTGTAAAAAATTATTTGGCTGACAAAATATTTATAAGAAGGTTAACAGTATCCAGATCGCAAGATTTCAGTGCCATTCAAACAGAAGTGGATATTTTTACCATACCTTTCAACAAAAATTGTGAAGCAGTGTGTTCAAATTTACAGCTTGAATTAGTTGAGTTGCAATCTAATAATCATCTCAAGCAGTTGTTTCTAAATATGCCAAAGTTAGAGTTTTACAAATCATTATCGAACGTAAGTTTCCCAAATTTAATATCTCACGCCCAGAAAATCAGTGCTATGTTTGCTTCATTTTATATATGTGAACAAGTGTTTCAAGTATAAACCTTGGAAAAGAATTATTTCAGAAGTAAACATACTGATGAGCATTTAGCCTCGTTCCTTAGAATCAGTACATCTCTCTTCGAAGCTCAATATAAGGAACTTTTAAAAATTAAATCGCAGTTTCATTCATCTCGTTAACATATTTAAATTGTAATACTTGTATATTGTTTTTAAAATTTTAGAAAAATTTATGTTGGCCCACCAAACTTTTTTTTATCGATTTGTGGCCCGCGACCGAAAAAGTTTGCTCATCCCTGCCTTAGGCCTTTCACGTTTGCTCAAAGAATTCTATGGTACTTTTAATAGAGAATTCATTAATTCAAACATAGAACTTTTGCTGTTGCAATCGAATCACAAGTAAAATTTATGAAAACTTAAAAATAAAAACGATGCTAATAATGCTTATAAAAAAAAAAAAAAAAAAATCTGAAATGTTTCAGATTTTAAATTACGTCCAAAGGGGCGTTTTTTTAACATTTTGTGTGTTACCTTTCTTTATTAAATATCATGTTCCTCGCACTTAAACCATAAGATCCAGTGCAACAGCAATATCGCAAAATAGTTTTAAAACGAGCATATCTTTAGAATTTCCGATACAGAGACTCACGCGCTGGAGATAAAAATGTTTTTTCTGCACAACGTTGCCATTGCTCGCTTTGAAATCCTTGAGTTTGTTAATCAAAAATTCGTCAAAGTTTTAAAAAATAGGAAATCGATCATAAAACAAATTTCAAATTTCAAATTTGGTCTTCCACATGCTCATATTCGTTGGAGGATTACGTTATTCAAAATTCGATGACTCTATGTACCGTTATTTTATGACAATGCGAGAAATATACATACATTTACGCAGATTTTCATTATTTAATTTCTTCAAATATAATGCAGGACTCTAACATTTTATGGCAACAGTTTGAAAAGTGAACCGACATTTATCCGTCCGACGCAAAATGCCAAAACGAAACTAATAGTCCTTCGGGATTCAAATCCTTTGGACTAAAAAAAAAAAAAAAACGAAACATTTTTTTAAATAGCCAAAGGGCATTTTTTTTCTTTATTACAATTCACTACGTAAGCAGTCCACAACGATGTAAAGTGCAAGAAACCCGCATATAAATTTTTGATTGAAATATGTTTAAAGTGTTATAATTTTAAATCTTATTTCTAAAAGCATGTGCTTCTGATTTAGGGTTTCGGGCATCTTAAAATTAATAAAAATTAAATAATATCTATTTGAATATATATATGATGCATTATTCAAATAAGAAATGAAATATATCCTAATTTTAAGCTCTACCAGAAATATGCGAAAACATTCTTTGTATGAAATATGTTGGCATCACTGTTCAAACTGCGTTAAATTTACATTAATTTTGCGATTGATCAGTTGTATTTTTGCAAGTGCAATTCATAAATTGCTTTTAGAGTAGCGCAAGCACTAAAAGCAGAATTTGATTTATAACTCAACAGAAAGGAAGATGCATATTCTCAGCAGGAAGAAACGCGTCAAACGCATTCCTCCACGTAAATCTCCAACGCAGACGACTATTCGACAAAATATGGATCCTGGTGAAAACCGAAATGCTTTTGGACTCAATTATGACAAAATAACCCTGAAGCTTGGCAAGGAAAATGCAGATTTTGAGGATGGCAAATGGTTGCTGCCTTCAGACAGTCTAACACCGTTAGTGGCAAGAATAGAACTCGAGAAACTGACGAAAGAATGCAGGAGACTTATAGAAGAAAACAACTTCTTGAAGGTGAAGATGGAAGTTTTGATGAATTTGTTGGCGGAGCAGCAGGCGAAAGATGCCCTTGATGTTGATGACGTATCAGAAAGACCAAACAAATCACCGGATTTAGAGAAGTATTGACGTAGATGTGCTATAACTGACATAAACTAATAAAAAAATATCTGTAATTGATGTAATTAACTTGAATTCGATGTCTTATTTTTGGCATGACACAGCATAATTAAGATTAAATAAACGCATTTTTTTGGTTCGGTTACGTGTCTCTTCTCTTACAATATTCAGCCTCTCACGAGTAAAACAGGAGTAAGCAATAATTTAATAATTTTTATATGTTTCAGGTTAATATTCCATAATCGGAATGGGCGCCAAATTTGGCAAGAGTTTTTTTTATTTGGCGAGGTTTTGGTTTGGTTGTGGTTTCTGGCTGTATGTTTTCTTGTGGCATACGTAGAGCTTTATTTCGGTAATTGTAAGAGTGCGAATTTAGTGTAGCCAGAAGATTTTTTTTTAAATTTAATTTTGAAATACTGTGTTTGTTTTTAAAAGTTGTACTGTTTATTATTATTATTATATATATGTTTAATATCATATTTATGTAGATATTTGTAGAGGGTTAAGCTGTTGGTGGGAAAATGTTGGATTTCAAATGACGTGAAGTTATGAATGTTTTCATTTAATTTTATTTATTCAACTTTTTTTAGTTCTTGCATGTGGCAATCAAAAGATGTGGAATATTTAAAGTTTTGAACGAAAGTTGTTTGGTATATTGAATTCCACGAATCTGTTTCATCATTTAATTAATTTCATTTACTGTTTACACATAATAATCGCCGTTCACCACTGTAAAGAAAAATTTGCTACTCTGTTTAAAACTCACTTCTGAGTGCTCTGATCTCATAAGTGTATATATTTATTCACAAGAATTTTTCACTCTACTATTTTATGATGAATTACATAGATAGGACTATGTTTTTTCTTGCAAAGCTGTTGGACTTTGCTTCGCTCATCTAGTATTTTATCATCTCATTTTACTATTCTGATTACATAAAATAACGGCGTTTCACTACTGCAAAACTTAAAAGTTACTATTCTGTTTTTACGTTTAAAATTCACATCTTAGTGCTTTCATCGCCGCCAAAAAAAATCGCCAAATTTATTTATTTATTTATTTATTTATTTAATGATTCATTCTGTGTGTGTGTATGTGTGATCAAAGCAGTCACTGAAAAACTTTGATCTCACTCCGTTTGACAAAATTGAGGTACTTTGCTAAAAAAAAACATTCCTTAATGTAATTTGCCGATTTTCCTTAAACTGTTCGAAGTTTTCCGATCATTACATGCTATAGTTTCTAATTTAGAGAATAAAATTTTGAAATTATGTCAGATTAATAAAATTACAGTTACATTAGAAATTTATGCTACTGTTTGAAAAACAATAACTGAAAATTTCCTCCGTAGATCTACACTCATGTCCCTAAATTAAGGATAATTCGGAGTCACGCTGAAATCGAACTCTAAAATAAATATATCACCTGTAAAATCACTACACACATCTTCAAGAATCATATGCAAATTTCAGGAAGTAACCAGATGACACCGATGGTACGTCACAATGACGAGAGTGTAAGAGAGTGACATATAAGGAATACAGGCAAAGAAGTAAAATTGTTCAGGCGCTTTATAAGCATTTCAGTGCAATAACCGAATAGTTCTGACACAAAGGACGCATTTGAATGATTTTTTACGTGGTAGAATTATCGGCCGTCTGGAATGTGAACGTTCCCAACCGGAAGTATCAGACGAACTTGGAATTGCCCAGAGTGTCATCTCCAGGCTTTGGCAACGATTCCAAGATGATGGTAATGTGAGTAGACGTTACAGCACAGGTCGCCCCAGAGTTACAACGTCGAATGAGGACCGGTATTTGGCAGTCACTGCCAAAAGAAACAGGCGGAGCACAGCCTCAGACCTGTCTCGTCAGCTCTCTTCAGCCACTGGTACGAGAATTTCAAGGCAGACCGGGTACAGACGCTTAGGGCATATTGGTCTATATGCTCGTAGACTTGTCAGATGTGTTCCACTTACTACAACTCACTGTCGCCTGCGGTTAGTCTGGAGTAGAGAGCATGCATTGTGGACACCGCAACAGTGGGCTTGTGTGATGTTTTCCGACGAGTCCAGGTTTAGCTTGCAGTCTGATTCTCGCCGGACTTTCATATGGAGAGCTCCAAGTACCCGTTACCACCAAGAAAACATCATTGAACGACACCGTTACGGTGGTGCAGGAGTGCTCGTTTGGGAGGGAATTATTCTGGGTTCCAGAACTGACCAGCATGTTCAAATTGGAATCACGACAAGCCAAATCTATCGGGACGTCATTCTGGAACAACATGTACGTTTGTTTCGAGGCGCCATGGGCGCACAATTTTTGTTTATGGATGCGCCCATCCTCACCGTGCAAACATCGTAAGCGAATGCCTTCAATCGGAGGATATCACCCGTAGGACGGCCAGCATTCTCACCGGACTTGAATCCAGTAGAGCACGTGTGGAACATTCTTGGCCGACGAGTTGCAGTGCGTCAACCTCCTCCTACATGTCTACCGAAACTTCGGAGAGCATTGCTTTGAGTGGTGTAACATTCCCCAAGATGAGATCGATAATTTGATACTCAGCATGCCTAGGCGTTGTACTGACTGTATTGCATCGTCTGGAGACATACAATGAATTAACAATCATACCAACCATGTAATATTGGTTTTTTGTAAATAGTTTTTTTTTTTTTTTTGTAATTTGTTCCAGGGAGAAAAATCGCTAATTTTTTTAATAATATGAAACATATAGCATCTTGTTTTGCTCTTTGCCTTTTGTTTAATAAATAAGCTTTACAAATAAGTCAAATTTGTTTTGCTTCTAACTCTTCCTTTGCCTGATTTTGTATTATCCTTAATTTACAGACATGAGTGTAGATGCATATGGTAGTGTAAACAAAAGGTAGTTTTACAAATTCTGAAAGCTATATATTAGAGACTTGAAACCGTATATTGAATTATAGCATCCTTCTCTATGTGCTCTTTTGGTGCAAGTGAGCGTACAGATAGAAATTGAGAGTTAGAATCCCGGTTATCACACAAATGATTTTTCATGTTCCCGACTTCAAAAAACTAAAGTTTTCTACCGTGGCGTCCGAACTAAAATGTGGAGGATAGTAACTAAAATGGGATGGATGGTTCTGAATTTAATCAGATAGTTTACGCGATCCATCTGGAAACTTGATTATCAGTAGTTAGAATTCCGAAGAAGGCAGTGTTGGTTCATTGTATTTCCGAGACTTCAAAAAATTTAAATAGTGTCTATATAAGCTTACTTATTAAAACCTGAAAATCGTTTAACAGTCGGAACCAGTCAAGGAGCCGAACAGTCGCATGTAGTTAAGTTACTTTACTTGCACTTTTGCGTTTTGTTGTTTTATTAGTCCAAAAGAACTAACTATTAGTCTCGAAATGGGATTTTGCGTCGAGTCACTATATTTACATCGTTTCAGTTTTCATTCGAGTCTGTTTCCGTTCAGCAAAATATAAGATATTTATATTTCAATTTAATTGCGTCTCTTGTAGATTAGCAAATTAAGCTAATTGAAAGCAAAGGATGCAGTTCTTAAGAATATTCGTTTCTTATTTTTGAATCAGATTAATTTAAATAATAGAAATGTATTTAACTCATGATCAATCTAAATAAAAATATTCAGTATTTTCATAGAATGACGTTATACATTTTTTATTATTTATTTCATATTTTGTAAAGATTTAATTAGTTTTTGATTAACACACTCAGCGATTTCAAAGCGAGCAGTGGCAACACATTAAGGAATAACACATTATTATTTCCTGTCGTGTTGGTATCATATATTCATTTTAAAAGACTATTTTTAAAAACCATTCTCATCTACATAAACGCATACGGCTCCACAACCATTTTCCATAGCCTCGTCTTCAGTTCACACTTGCTTGGCGTGCGCCATTTCTGAGTTTGATTATGATGAAGTCTTGTAATCTCAATACACCACATCTCCAGTGCGCGAGACTGTCTATCGGGAATTATAAAGATATGCTGTTTTCAGTAATTTGCGAGTTTCTTGTTGAATTCAATTGTATGTGATGAAGTGCGAAGAACTGGTATATAATAAATAAAGTTAAGAAACAAAACATTAATAATAAAAAGATATAAAAAAATTGCAAGCCATCGTACTAAAGAAAAACCGAACATTGATATGATAAACACAGAAAAGAATAGAAAAATGTTACTCCCACCACTTAACACCGCACTGGGAATTCTAAACATAAGCTTGTTATATAGCTTTTAAAAATTTTATGATTTTGTTGTTGAATTCTGTGTTGCGTAAGCATGACGAAAATGCATAGTAATAAAGGTAGAAAGACAAAAATATCGATTAGCAAGAGTAAGTGCAACGGCATCCTAGTAGACTACGAGATAGTGACAGCATGAAAATCTTTAAAAACTTTTCTGGGTGATCGTTAAAATCCGTAAGGATTTCTTTTTTAAAATTTATGTTAGTTACAGTTAGGCCTAACTAATTAATTATTCAATTAAAGTAGCTGATCCGGATCAGCTACTTTAATTGTACTTTTGGATTTAGTTAGTTTATTTATAATTTTGTGTTTTACTTTATTAGGTTATTTCTACCGCCTGCTGAGCGTGCCTTTGTGGTGTAGTGGTCTGCACGTTCGAAGCGTATCCGAGAGGTCCTTAGTTCGATTCCCGGCGAGAGCATTGCTCATTTTTCATGACTCCTGCATCCGAAAAATACCTAGTGTCTCTACAGTGGCGCCCGAACTAAAAGCGTACGGGATGAAGATTCTCCACACCCAGGATTTCGCGATTGGATCCCCTAAAAATCCCAATCGCCCTTTAAAAGGGAAAGTATATAAGCTACACTGAAGTGACAAAAGTCATGGGATACCTCCTAATATTTTGTCGGTCCTCCTTTTGCCCGGCGAAGTGCAGCAACTCGACGTGACATGGACTCAACAAGTCGTTGGAAGTCCCCTGCAGCAAATATTGAGCCATGCTGCCTCTATAGACGACCATAACTGTGAAAGTGTTGACGGTGCAGGGTTTTGGGCACGAAGTGACCTCTCGATGATGTCCCATAAATGTTCGATGGGATTCATGTCGGACGATCTAGTTGGTCATATCATTCGCTGGAATTGTCCAGAATGTTCTTCTAAC